TGCTGCTACACTGGCTGTCTTTATCTGCATTTGTTCGTGTATATGCTATAGGAGGGCTAGGTCATCTGCGAAGTCCAAATCGTCTAATTGATTCTGAGCTGTCCATTGTATTCCGTGTTTGCCCTCAGATGTCGAGGTCTTCATAATCCAGTCGACCACCAGAAGAAAGAGGAAGGGAGAGGGTAGACAGCCTTGTCTGCCTCCCTTTCTATTCATTAGCTCCTATTTATTTATTTATTGCGTCATTATTGCAACTCTTTCTGAAGTTTAAATTACATCATACATAATTGACTGATTTCAATTCATATTTTCTTTATTACCATCGATCTATTTTCATGAGTTCTAAACACTATTTCAATGTTTCAGAACTTTCCCTCTCTAGCTTTATTTATTTATTCGAATCAAACATTTTATGAGCTCATTAACTCTATCGGAATTTTCGCTACATCATGATACACATGTGTTGATCCTTAATCACACTCTTATGTATAAATATGTCAATATCTGTAATAATTTGAATTTCAAATAATTTAGTTTGTAAGCAGCTGATGAGAACCTAACGAAATAAAATGAATTCATATTATTCTGCACCAATCTTTGTTCTTGCTCTATTTAAGATAATAAAGGGAACTATGTGTATGAAATATCCCTCGGTTGTTTCTGTACTTCTTCTTTTTCTTCTTCTTCTTTGTGTGTGTGTGTGCAACACATCTATGAGGATAGAGGATAAGTGTGGATTACTAGTGTTCGATTATAGGTGTCTTCCAAGTATCACTCGTGTATTCTTTGATTACCGAGTGAGCAATATTCAGTTGAAATGCAAAGTACTAATTGGATATGTCGTGTAGGTTGATGGGGAAGTGAATGTTGATGTTGTAGCTTGAACCGGTGCACGTATATGCTAGTCTCTGCGTTGAGTATCACTAGCTGACTGACTGTTAAATATTGCATGATCTTCAATGATATTTTTGTTCTTGCATTGATATAAGATTAACATATTTTGTTTACTTTAGTAATTTTGGTGTGTTTAATGAGTGGTTTATTTATTTTCTGATTATAAATGAATACAATAGGGATTTATTTCACTTTATCCATTACCAGTGTGCAGTCAACCTTCAATATAATTACAATTTTTTATTCATTCTTGACTCTTGTTTTCTCTGTTTTATATTTGTTTTTAAATTTCTTTGAGTTTATTTATCCTGCTGTTATCGATGCTTATTTTTAGTGACCGTAATCGCTTAGTGTTCATTGATGACTACAGACTACGTATAACTCCATCCAATTGTGAACTGAATTTCTATAAGACGAATATGTCGTTCTCTAAACTTTATAATTCTCACTCGAATGAACAATCATATAAATGAATGACTTCATATTATTAGAATAACAACTTATTATTTGAATTTACTTATTTTCAACATGAATAGAATTTGATGTCTTTTTGCAAACCATACTGTATTCATAAAAACTAATTGAACTCTATTATTTAGAGACTAACTATTCAAGTGGCTTCATAGTACAGTCTCTTTATGAGTAAGTATTTTAAAAGTGGAATACAATTCTTCTTGTTTCTAGCATAACTGTATTAATAGTAAATACATTAATATCTCATCCTATCGAACTAAGCTGCAGTAAACGTACTAAAAAGTGATAACTCACAGCAAAAAACTGTATTCCTTTTCTAGAAATTAGATGCATTTTATATCATATGTTCACTTGTTATTAACACAAATGTCCTATTTAAATAAACTACATAGATTTAAAAATTTAAACTCACACAGATCGCTACTGAATATAACTGTCTAATTTTTCTAATATATTCACCAATATCATCGTAATTTCATTAACCGACATGAAATTTAAATTGATACGCTGATTGTTCATTAGACTTTCGATTGAATCTAAGTTAGTAACCATTTTTTTTGAAAATATTTCCATGAAAACTTCTATTTATGGTACTGGATATAAAATTACGGGACAAGATTATGTTATAATAGAGCCATCCTAAATTTAATTATAAAGTTTCATATTTCATGATTTTATTATCCATATTTCTATAATATGCTATGATAAAATGGCAGTTATTTTGAGTTGTTTTATTTGTACTTTGGCTTTGCCTTACCTATTTCAATGTAATTTCTATTCAGTCAACGAATCAGTGAAACTTTCTTTTTAGTAAATGAAGATTTAGTGGACTGACGGGAAAGTTTGTGGCTTAAAAGCTACTATCTGCACTCAGTAGTTTAGTGGGTCGAGCGTTTGAAGAGAAATATACTAGATTCGAGTCCCGGGATAAACATTAGCTCTAGGGTGCAGATACATTCAACTGACGCGTCCGAAACGGGGCACACACGCAGCTAGATACTTTCTATATTTACTTAAAAAGTATCAATGAATTTGTAGTATGTATGATATTCTAATTTATCTACTGATGGGTTTAAGTGTGTGTATACAAGTATGTTAGTGCTTACTTGCTTTCTTTTCAAACAGATATATGTATCAAATACATTGTTTTCATGAGATCTCGGAATTGAGGTGAAGGTCACTTATCAGTAATAAAAATCGCAACCTTTTGAATATCAAAAATTAATAGTAACAATCTATATTTTAAATTTATAAGATTAACAAGTTATATACTAAACTCATTTGATAAAATTTGCTATGAGATAATATTGAAAATTCCTGGTCGGTAGCCTAGGCTCCACGAGGGGTAGATACAACTATTTACGTAATCGAGTCCATGATATGAAATAGATGATGATCTCTTAATATAGTGATTTGACTGAAGTCTAAATATGTATGCCGGTGGATTCCTACCCATTAGCTGAGTGATGTTGTGGTCTCCATTATTCATGAGTCCCTCAACTTTAAAAAACGGCTGTCAAGCTCTGATTTCTGATTTTCATTAATTGTCTAACTATCGCCACTTTGTCAAAATATATTTTTTATCAAGTTGGAGTCATTTAAGATTATATAATATTCACGAGATAACTAGTTGTACATAATCAATGGGACAAGCTTAATTCAATTTTAATTAGGCAAATGAAAAAATCACCAATTTTTGGTGGCAAATACTGAAAATTACTACCGATTATTTAACTGTAAATCTAATCTGTACTGAAAATCCAAATAAAAACCCATTTGAATATATGTCATATTAATATTAGGTTTTTTCTAACAGTATGCTGAACGTTTATTCATTTCTATAAAATGGTCAGTAATTCCAGTTGTTATGAACTTAAATACAACGAGAGAAATCATTTTTCTCAAGACTGGATATTCATCTTGCTTACGAATGTTACTACCTGGGAACTCGCCTGTACCGTCTTTTGTTCGAACAATGTACAAATAGATTAAATATACAATGATAGCACTTATATATAAAACTATTACTGAGATACTGGCTAACTGAATCATTTAAAATGTTTTATGATTCATGAAGAACCTTCTACGTTATCAATCAAAGTGTCCGAGTGTAAGGAAAATCTAATTGGTTTATACTGAAATAAATGGATTTATAATTCAGTGTATGTAAATTTATCCCCAGGTGGTTGTGCTTATAGATAAGATGGTATGAGCATGATAAGAGAAAGTGATGAACATCAGTCTAACTCAATGGAACTGGTCTTGTATAAAAACAGTTATCTAATGATGTTGAGGCTAATTCACGATGTTTCAGTATTCTCCTTCTCAATACACTAAGTCAATTTATCAAGGGAAAACTGTAAGATCTCTAATTGCTTTGAAAGTATATCACAATATTTTATCAAAAACTGCCAATTATTATAAAGTTGTCAGATAGCTATTTTAAGTTTAAAAAATCTGCAAATTTCTTAGCATTAGCTCCTTTATCCTCTAAAATAATTGTATTTTTATTAAAAACATAAAGTTCAGGAAATGAATTCTTTTCAACGAACGTATTACCAAGCTGTATAATCATACATATGTGTATGAAGTTTTAGGTATTAGTTCCGTGAGGAAATATAAACAATCCATAAACATGATTACTTAATAGAAAAGTAATAATACTAGATTATGTAGTGTAAACAATAACAATAAAAAACTGTGTGCAAATAGAAAGCCTAGTAGGATTAATAAGTTAGAAACGGATTATAATGCAAATAGAGCAAAACAATTAAAATATTTTTGTCACAAATAATTAATAACAGTTGAGTGGTTGAATAAAATGAAGTGATATCTGAAACAATTATGATTAAAATTATGGGGATATAGAAAATAATTAAAGAGAGGGATATTTTCAAAGATGAAATCAATGAAATAGAAATAAAATAAATAAACAATAGTAACTTAAGGTCATGTTAAACACAAGCATAAGACATACTTCTTTTGTACACACAGTTTTGGCTTCATTTCATGGATGACAAGAGCTTCTTCTGTTTCAAGGAGTTGGCTGAGAAGAAATTTTGATAGATTTGGATGAATTGTATAATTAACGTTATCCTTAACCTGTCGATCAGTGGAGTGATTAAAATTGATTAAACACTCGAGAACAGAACTTATAGCTATTTCTTTCACTATTGTAGGACCACACTGAGATATGTTTTCGTACCTGAGTTGAAAGCAAGCGAAGGTTATGGCCTATGTGCCTTGCTCCATAACAGCATGTGAACAGGTAGATGAGCATAGAGGCGACCAGATGAGGAAGCTTATCTTTTACGGATATCGAAAATAAATTCTTACTAGTAAACGTTAATTTCAGCTTTGCTGCATTGAACGTTACGTTTTATAGCTATCATTAGCCGATTTTTGAATGCATCACAAAATCTTGAGATTCCAGATTCATATTAAAGATATTTCTTTGAAATGGAGTTTTCGGATTTCTTGCTCCAACTTCTTACATAGGTTACTTCATTTTCACTCAACATCCCTTAATTATGGAAAAGATTCTACACGTAATTCAATAGAACATTATTACTTTTCACAATTCATTATTATTTGTCTATAATGTCATTGTATTTTCAAACTACAAAACATCTAATGCATATCACTGTTCACAATAAAGTAATTGATAAATGTCTGACTATAAAAGTCACTTTTTAAATGATAATTTAGTAGTGAACAAAAACGATGTTTACACATTAATAACGTTCAACTATCGCTGAAACTAGCAAGAATTTAAGAATGTCTGATGTTGTTACTTAAAATCACCTTTAGTATCAATATAGTTAATTAACTCACCTTGAAGATAAGTATTATTTCGGGAGTATGAAACAAATGAAAGCATTATATTTATTTTTATGAATTGGTTTATCATGAAATGATGAGCAATTCTTTCAATGTTAACATTATACATTTTGTAGATTAACAAAGTTACATAATAATGATAGAATAATATTGAACCACACCGAAATAAGTGATACCTATAAAAAACAGTATTAGCTGAACAGCTATCCAAACAATTGAACGAATATTTTATTTGACATTTATGCATATGACAACTATCAATCATAAATGTGCTGCAGTCACATCGGTCCACTGAATTTCTTGTTTTTTTATTTAGTGATTTATTCACATGATACAAAAGTGCGTTTGAATTAAAATATTCCATGTTGTGACCTTGAAATATTTAATAAACTATTTCAAAACATTTAAAGTTTCAGACAAAGTATTAATATAAAAATATCTGATATATCTCATCGAAATCTTTCAATAAATGGTTTAAATATTTTCTATTTTGTTGACAGAGTAATGAAAAATCGACTTTATGAAAACGATAATTAAATAACTTTTTATCAGAATGGGATTTATTGAAATTGTTGTGATTTTAATAGTTGAATTCATGAGTCGATGTAAGCTAGACCACCATAGAAATCCTGGAAACACTAGACGGCCGTTTCGTCCAGGTTTTCTATGGTGGTCTAGTTTACATAGACTCATAAATTCAACTATTAAAATTTAATAACTATCCAATGAACATTTCACTTGTGTTATGTGATGTAATGAAAATATGCAAGACCTTATTCACTGTCATCTGAGCATTTATAACTAACTACTGGTTGCCTAGTTCCACCATAAACGTATACTGACACAAACATACAATTAAATTTAAAAACTAATTCCATTGATTTTCAGATTATAAATTCGTTGAACTATGTTGTATTGATTCAAATAATATTGATTGATGAACATACAATTAGGTTAAAATTAACTTTTTGAAAATGTTTAAAATACGTGTCCATTAAACTAGTTAAAATTATTCCTGTTGTTCAAATTCAAAAGCTCACTGAATATACCTTTCATATAGAATCCGCTGAAAGTTCTATCTGACATGTATACAGTCTTTGCGTCATGTTTTTGGTATTCACTTCAAAAAACATCCTTTTAATGAGGTCGATGCATATAGCCGTATGATAAATTATATAATTTACCATATATTAAGATCATTTTAAACAGGCAACATGTCAGTCCATCAAATCAGACCATAAAGACCTAAACTGACATAAGATATAGCTTTTGTGTCTTGTTATTTAGGAAATCATTTTTATGCATCTGGTAAGTTTTAGCTATTGAATTTCTAACCACTTTTATTCTTCTCAGAATCTTCAAGACTTATATCTAAAGTAAAAAACAGGTAGGAAGTAGAAAATATATTTTGATGGTTGGATTATACAAACACGACCTTGAGATTCTAAACGCTTCGGTGAAAGATTCAAAACTTGATTACAAAATCGATAATTGTTCATACAGACCAAAGCTAATATGATGAGGTATTCTTTAGTTATGGTCAATGTGTTTACGGAATTCTCATCATCATTTGATAAGTTATTTCCATTACATCTTCATTCAAAGGTATGGTTTTTATTTGTTTATTTTGAAACAGATCGACTTCCGTTTTTCTAGTTGAACTTAGGATTTGTAATTGCCCTCAGGTGATATATGATATGGAGAGCCAATAAGAAATGGCCTAGTGAGAAGGTCAATCTATGGTAATCAAAAGTGACCTAAGGGACAAGTGAATTTCATTGGCTAAGAAATGGATCGATTTATTAATGTTAGAGTGGTATATATAAGCGTATTTGTACATTTTATTTGGAAGTATAGTACACTTCCTTGCTGACTCTTGTGTTCTTGCTTAAGTAGTCGGTTAGGGCTGTTAGCACGTAGCACACCCTGTATCAACATCAGATTTTGGATACCGCCCGTCACAACAATAGTTATCTTCAATCATATAAAGCCAAAACAACATATGTTACAATTTTGATTTACTTGGCTTATCGATTTAACCCTATTACTTGACCAGTTGACTTCTTGCAGTATTGAGGATTTGAAATTTCCATCAATCACTATTCCGCAATCTGGTAATATAATAATGCTATTCGAGAAATTAAAATGTACCAAATTTTTTTACTTTAATGGTCTCCAAGAGAGTGTGCTTAACACATGTGGCGTAAATCTGTTTAGTTTAAAGAAACATGGGTAGATTACGAAACACCTATCATAATCGTAAGAATATTAGCACTCTAATGATCCAAAAATCATCTACTAGAAATAAATCCATAAAATCGAACCTGAAAAATTATGATATTTCCGTTTGGAGTTTGTGGAGGTTATGGGATTTTATTATTCATACAATAAATCATTCTTAGTTAGGGATCCATTAAAAGCCAGTAAACGTTCCCCATTAGGGTCGTGGATGTTCATCCCGGAGGAGTTCCATACTAAGATAAAATGGCAGTCGAGTGCTTCATGATTTTAAATGGATAATTAGCTAAGGTTAGTTCGTGATGTAATCTATGACATTATTATATTGTTAGATAGGTAATTCGTTTTCAAAATTCGTGTCCTGTCATCCTAATACATATGAGCTCACCTACTTAAGCAATCATTTATGAAACCAGTTTCAAGAACAGGGTATCGTAACCAAAAGAATTAAGTAAATAATACTTGAATGTTTTAGCTAATAGAGATGGAGCGATTAATAACTAGTCTGATTGTTGGATACTGTAAGTTGTAGAGTAAGACAATCCTTGATTTATTATAAGTGTCTAATAATTTTCTCCTCGCAACAGACTACGCTAAATTTGATTAATCAGTAGTTTTCTCCAGTTATGAATGAAGTTTGTTGAAATATCACAAAAATATTTAGTGTCGTTACTAACAAAACTGATCCCCAGTTTATAGTATGGTTCACCTTATTCATTCAGTCAACTTTTTCTTAATTATGTGATCCGATTGCGTACTTCATTATTTTTCTAATGTTTGTTGTTGTTTGATAAAGACTTCCCTACATTTTAATTCTACACTCTCCACATAATTAAGTATCTATCTTAGCTACAATTATCGTTTTGTATTAATTGATTACTGAGTAGTAGAGAATTTCAACCATTGATCAGTTAAGTCCAATCAACGGTAAAGGATTATAAAAGATAACACCGGCTATGATTCAGTGATCAGACGATGTAAATATCTCAGTTCTATAGAAAGTCAGTCCCTACCCAGATAGCTCAGAGGAAATGTGTCAAATTATGAAAATGAGTAACCGTGGTCCGAATCCAGTGAGGTTTACCAGTTCCCTGAGGATTTTTGATATAACTTACTGTAAAGTTCCAACTGGAGCTCACTCTAAGTTCATGATTTCCTGTTGACTTTTTACACTACCAGTTTAATTTATCATTTCATTCTTTTTACTTTATTGTCATCATTCACAGTTTCCATTTCTAATCTCATTCAAAACATCATATCAGCTCTTCATTTGTGATCATAATTTTTTTAAATTTTTACCATGTACAATATTTATGGCTAATAAAACAAATGTCAAAAAAAAAATAATAAACTCATTTTATTCAGTAACTCTAGTTGTTCTCTTGTCCAGATAAAAAATTCAGTAAATTAGTTTGTTAGCTTAGTGCGGTATAAATTGATAAATTGTGACGGATCAAATTGTAAAACTGCTGAAATACTAAGCCTTACTTAAATTTTCAATGAATTTGACAAAAGAAAACTAAACTAAATGAAGCGAACTGAGAAAAGAATACTCTGAAGTTAATCTCAGAATAAATACAATTTATGACAAAAATACAATCACCCGATAGATAAATAGTATTCAGAACCTTGTAATAACTTAACAATAACGGCTAACAACTAAGTATTTTCAAAATAAACAAATCACATTGTACAATATACAATATATGGTTCACGTGCTGAGATGATGAAGTTTTGTAGCTCTGGTGGATAATTCTGATAATGCTGCGTTCTCTAAACTCCCATTGATGATATTCAAAGTAATAATGGAAGATTCATAATCAAATCACAGAGTTCCCTGCCAACCACCTAATACTAAGAAATTTACTGCCAAACTATACGTTTTATTACGTAAACTTTATTCACATTCATATTTCAAATCAAATTTTCTCATTTTTATCGATAGCGCACAATCCAGGAAAATAAATTGAAGTTTCGTGCTAATCTAGTCTTTTTTTCTATCATAGTCATTGGTCTTCAATACAAAATTATTGACTTTGGCTGTTGCTCATATTCTGAGTTGTTAACCACGAACTCCAACGTCAAACCTTTGTTTAATCGATGGCCTGTGAATTCTTTAATTAAACAAAATGATATCCGTATTTTCTCAATTTTCAGAGATTTTCAATTCATATCATACAGTATTGAACTTTTCACCTAAAAAGGAATTGTAGTTACATAGCTCGACAAGAGTTGTATATCATTTCCACAGCTACTTTTATATTAAAAGCATTTCAATCATGTATCTTAACGGTCTTACCTAGTTTTCGTACCATAGAATATTTGTGGTTTTCAGAATACTACATAAAAAGATTTGATCATTATTATTTCATGAGTTTTAAATAATGCTAACAATCACTTCACCAAAGCTGAAATGCAATATGACGACTTCACTGGTTAATCAGTCACTTTAATATCTCATTACTTTTTATATGGTCTAAGATTAAGCTATGCCATGTCAAAAACTGAACTTCTGGTTTCTGAATGATTTACTCATAGCTCTTCTTGTTGCTAAACTCAACCATTAATCCAGAAAATTTAATTTATTAGTGTTTATTAATTTGGTATTGGCCCTTTGATGTGAACGATCTTCATGTTTGGTAAATATCTTCAGTTCAACAATGTGGTATAAAGAATATTATGTACTACTGTCATAATTAAGAATCACTATTTTTCTGTCGATAAGTAATTCTGCTTTAAATGATGAATATGCATATTATGTAAATCACATAACAATAATATTAATAGTAATAGTAATAACGAAATGATCATATAAGCAAAGATGGGTAGTGGCTAGCGGTGGAATCCAGGACATACGTTTCGTCCTATTTGGGACCCGTCAGATGGATGTACCTGCATCTCAGAATTGATGTTCACTCCGGAACTCAAAACCAATACCTTTCGCCCCAAACGCCATCACGTTATCCACTTAGCTACTGAATCCTGATAGCCACTTGCTTGTGCGATGGGGTGAAGTTTAAATTAACTCGGCACATCCAGCTGACGAGTCCCAAATAGGATGAAACGAGCGTCCTGGATTCCACTGATAGCCACTATCCATCTTTGCTCATAATGCTTGTGAATCAAGGCAATATCGAGGCAATACGCACAGTATGCACATATGCCAATAAGTGACTCATCAATTGTAGTCCTAAACATCAATGGGAAGATTCAAGTAAACAATACCAAGTGAATTTAATCATAATAATAGTTATTATTACGTTGTGATAAATTGTTCTACTTTCCTAACATTAGGACGTTCGCATGTAGTATTTTCGAGAAAAAGCGAATTTTGAGAATATTCTTTATATAACAGTCAAACTAGTGGCACTGTACTTTTAATGCTTCTAATTATCGTTTATGCATATTTATGGATTTGTACTCTTTAAAGAAACTGTTAACGACTCACTACTATGTACTGCTTGCTTATGCTGACTAGTATTGCCGTTAAAAATAAATCATATCACTCAAAATTTTATTATGT